GTACTTTAAGCCAGCTTGAAAGGATCAAAGGAAAAAGAGGGAGAGAACTAAGTTTGATTGAGTGTGTTACTTTGACACATGTGTACAAGAGAAAGGCATTTTAGGTATGTTACTGATCTGCTGCTACTTTGACAGAATGGGGCTGTTTTAGACTAAATTATTCTAATCTATTTAAAGAGGTTTTGACAGCTGGGAAACTTGAGAGAGAGTACAAAGCAGATTTTATTTGATTGAGACCGAGGTGACTTCCTGTCCTGCAATGTTCTTGAGCTGTTTCCTGTCAGTACGAGCCCCCCTGCAGAGGGGACGTGTTGGTTTAAGGCAGAGAATGTGCAAGTAAAATATTGTACATGTCGTGATGGGTAATAAAACCAATATGTAATGCATTATTGGTATTGTAACATAACTTTTAAAATTATTTTCATTAAACTTTTTCCAAACATGTCTATCAAGTTAATTAAAAGTATTTTTAGTGGGGGTGCACAATATTATGGTATCGGTATCAGATGGTATTGGTGATAAAGTTAAATATCGTATATTGGCCTTGCTATCAAAATAACTCACCGATATGAAAGGCGCTGGTTTTTTTTTTTTTATATATAGATTATATATTTATATAGTGTTGCATCATTTTCAAGGACTCAAAGATTCATTTATTGTCATACCAGCTCACATGTTTGTGGTACGAAATTCGGACTCAGGTCCCAGATCAAGAAACCTAACAATTAACAAAGAAATAAATACAAAAGAGTACAAATACATAATAAAGTTTTGAAAAATGTAAGAGTAAGCTGAATTAAGTGCAGCTCGAGTTCAGCAATCTGACAGCTGCAGCGAATAAACTGTTTCTGAGCCTGGTGGTCTTGCTCTGAATGCTCCACAGCCACTTGCTTGAGGGGAAGGGCTGGAACAGACTGTGTGCAGGATGAGTGGAGTCCTTCATGATGCGGAGTGCCCTCCCCCTGCATCGTGAAGTGTGGAGGTCCAAGGTGGTGGGAAGGCTGCTCCTGACAGTCAACCCCTTTTTGGCATCTGCATTTGGTAGCAGGCCAAGTTGACAAAGACCATGTAGAATAATGTAGTATTTTAATTCCACAGCAGAGAAAGCTATGTAGTCTCTGTAAATAGGTCTAGGGAAAAAAAAAAATCTGTTTTGGTATTGGTTATCGGCAAAATAAGTTTTAACATATCAGCATGTTGGCATATCGGACATCAGCCAAAAATCCAATATCGTACATCCCTAATTAAAAATTTTTTTTATTTTTTTTTACTGAGGGGAATGGATCATCTTAAGAGCAAGTGGTGGGGGGGGGGGGGGGGAGCACAAATAAAATGTTATATTAATGTTGATCCCACAAAAGCAGGCCTCCTTCTGAAATCATGGTGCCTCTGGCAAGGTTGTGTTTTTGACCAAGCAATCATTCAAGTATGAGGGTCAAGCATAGGTAAAGGTTCTAATGACACATCCTGTTTATCCTGCTTCTGTTGGGTGTAATCACGCATCCAAACTGCTTCCCCAGCTGTGGAACATTCCTCTTGGTCTTCACAAGTTAGATTTTTCAGAACGGGGACTAAATTTAGTCGGGGCTCGTTGCGTAAATTTTAGGTCGCTTTTACAAACGACTCCATTTGCTCAAAACGGATTTGTTCAGCGATAAATGTCAAAACAGGACAAAGGTTTCTTCTTGGGGAGTTCATGCTGGATTTTATTAATTCACACAAGACACATTTAAAAGACAACATCAAAAGAATTTGGAGACTTTCAGAAGCACTTGAGGAAAACTAACAGTATAACGGAGACGAGGAGAGACAGAATGAAAGCCTCTGCTTTAGAGGCTGCCACAGCACCTTCCTGCTTAATCACCCCCTGTCCCTGCCCTCTCTTGTTCTCCATCGTCAGAGCAGCACTGCAGTATTTCTATCAGATGATCTCTCCCTGCTCGTCTGCGGCCCTTATGTTTATGAAAATGATACTCCACAGGAATGCTTCCTGCATGCCAAGATGTCACTGTCTTTCCTCATCACTTGCATCTACGTGCATGTTTGAGTCTGTTTGTGTGTGAGGGTTGAGGGAGGTGGGTGGCGGTGGGGTGGAATATAACTTAATGACTATCTTTGTTTGTGATTGTGTGGAGTGTGTTTGAAGTTGTGCGTTTTGAGCTGAAACGGGTGCTTATTTTAGTCCCATTCTGAGTGGCTTTTGTTGTTTTGTGAGAGTTCGTTATTGCCGTTTTCTGCATGTGAGCTGTGACTGAGATGTTGATTGTGCGAAAGTGTACCTCCTACCATTCTTACCCAGCCCCACCCCAAAGGAATCATTCACAGAACCTAATGATACTTGTCTTTCCCCCACATGGCATCAGCTCAGTTTATCATTACAAGAACACACTCGCATTCTTGCTTTCTTTTTCTCTTTCCCTCACACGCACTCACACACACAGAAGATCCATACATTCACCCCACACCATATGCTTAGATATTAGTTAAGACTGCATCCAAGAATATTGTTGTGTTCAAAATATTCATAATTTATTCTATGGGAGCGTCTATATTCCCATCACCTTTTATTAGCTTGATAAATCACCTCTGTTGTCAGTCAAGGCAAGGAGAATAATTGGATGTGGTTGTCGCCCTGTGTGATGGATTATCAGTCATTGGGGATTAAATTAACAGATAGTGCTCAGACATAATGGTTTTTGTTTTGCATTTTAAATTGCCTGGGAGCACGGTTTGACTCTAAAGGTTTTTATTGCTGGTACTTTTGGACTTCTCTCCCCCCTTTTCTGTTCTGTCTGCACTTCATAACAAATGAACAATAACTCAGAGGGCCGCAACTCTATTAGTATAACATTTTACAACGTTTACGACTGGATTAAGGCACAGAAACAGACCTAGGAAGTCTTTATATGTGATTGCCTGGTCAGACATTGGGTCTGGCTATAGTTTATTAAAGTAGAAAAATTAAGGAATATTGACAATGTCTTCTTGTTAAGGAAGGAAAAAAGGTGACTTGACAACTTGGTCAAGCGATGTGCCATGATGTTCTGATGTATACTGACATCTGTGACTTCCTAGTAAAGATAAAAGCACACAGATATCCCAATCCTGGATTAATTTCCTCTTTCAAAGACAAGAAAAAATGGTGAAGTTAGAGTAAAAAGGGAGTAAGGAGTAACTTGAGCACTGCATGCAGGAGATGTATATCTAGTATGTTTCCCCAAGCAAGAGCGATTTACCTCTTCACCCCTCCCTTCCCTTTTCCCCACGTCCACATTATCATAATTGTGTCCAGAACATGAGGGGCCAGGGAAGTGATCATGTCATTTTATTTACACCCTGCTTGGCCCTTTTTACAAACGACATGCCACTGACTGCCAAGCGGACTGGGGCCCGACGACATCTTTTGATCAGGGCTGTCGGGGCAGATCAGCGGAGAGTGGCAGGTAATGGATACCCAGTGACAAACCAAATCTCCGGGAGGATGGAGAGTGGGTCGCACCTGCCAGGTCTCCATTAGGCTGGCCTCGCAGTGGGGCTGCCTGCTGACTGTGCCCCCAGGGTCCAAATCAGACCAGCGCCAGCCGCATGGCTGCCTTGAGATTGGCTGTTAGCACTGGAAATGAGAGTTATTTCAGCTATGACATTTTTGTTTAGACTGGATATGTGTGTGGGGGAAGTAGGGGGGATGAAGGATTTAGTCACGGCATGTATTTGTGTGTGTACGTGTGTGTGTGTGTGTGTGTGTGTGTGTGTGTGTATGCATGTGGCTGTTTGTGTCCCAGTGCAGAAGCTCTACACTTAGTGATCAAACTAAGTCTATAGCTACAGATTCTTTTGTGGCATTTGTCATAGTTTACAATGTTTTTCAAATGGCCTCAGACTTATATACAGGCCATCCACTACTTTCAGAGATTATTTGTTTTTCCTAGAGTTGAAAGGTTTTGTGAGTGAGGTTGTCAGGAAGAGAGGGAGTGGAGTTTTGGGGATGAGTTGTGGCTGAGTTGGCATTAGATGGGTAGGTTTGGGGCCACAGGAGGCACAGGAATCAGTGTTTGTTTGTATGTTGGGTCAGGGGATACACATATACATATACTGTACATACAGTAGATGTACATACACTGATCACTCATCATGAAGAACACTGAGCATCAACATGTAAGGTGACAGGCCGCTTAAGCATTAACATGAGGTCTTCAATCATTAATTTCACTTTACACCTCTTCCTTTTGTCATATGATCAATTTTTTAGATTTGTTTTACAGTTTATATATATATATATATATATATATATATATATATATATATATTGAGAGCCTAGTCCCAGGAACCCTCCAAATATTAATAACAAAGGAAGTTACTGCAGCCAAGCTGACAATCATAATGTCTAATCAACATCTGAATTTTATCAACAAAATGTTTATCTTTTTCTTTTGAACTTTTTTAAGAAATGATTTTGCCTGTGTTCATGTGTGTGTGTCAGTCTGCATTTGTGTGTAATCAGAGGAGAGGCAGATGAAGAGGCGTCAGACATATTAACTGACAGATGGAGGTTGATCCAACTCATTTATTACCCCAGAGGAGAATGCCACAGTGAGATTGGGCTTCATTAATTTCAGATTTAGTTTTCATTTCAAGCTGTTGTGCCCTGAGATAAATAAAATGGTGCATTATGTTTTTGCCAAGATATTTCTTTTTTGTTTCCCTCCAATAGAAGGAGTGAAAAGAAGGGAGGCATAAGTTCCATGTGGCTGGGGTAGTATATAAATACAGACTCGCCTAGAGGAAAATAACACCTCAACGGTTGATGAGGTGAAATGGGATGACTGTAATTTCTCAGCTCAGCTTTAAAGGCTCCCACACAGATGGCTCATTTATCCCTGGGAGTCCTCGGGCACACATTGCAGGGAAACTTTTTCTTCAGTTATTCTAACATAGCATGTACTCTCCTTGCAATTTAACTCATCTCTTTCTTTCTCTCTGTGTCTCCATTCTCCTTGCAGCCTATTCTCCTGAGGAGCTGACGGAGCACCCTGTGGAGGAAGCAGAAGCGGGAGAACGGCCCTCGGTACCTCAAGATGACCTTCCCATGAAGGAGGAGTTTGTGGAGCAAAGTGTAGGGACTGCCAAGGAGCAAGCATGTGATCAAGAATCAGCTGACACCACTGAGCTCTCTGGACAAGAGATGGACAGTGAGTCACATGTTAGTGAGTCCAGTGACCGCCTTTCAGACTTTGAGAGCCCTTGCAGAAAAGCAGAGGCCGCAGCTTCTCAGAATGCTGACGCCAAGACACCTCCCATATGCTCGGACACCTTAGAGCAAATGAAAGCTATCTACTCCAGTTTCCTGACCAGCCCTTTGTGGTCACCGCTGAACCTAAATTCCACACCACTACAGGCACAGTCCTCTGCTTCAGCAGAGAAGCAAACGCGCAGCAACAGCACTAGCAGCAGTAGTAGCTGTAGCAGCGGTAGCTATGACTGGCATCAGTCGGCAGTGGCAAAGACACTGCAACAGCATCCTCCTCAGAGTCGTCATCCTGCTCCATCTGAGCCCAGCCTCTTTAGTACAGTCCAGCTCCACAGGCAAAACCCCAAACTGTTTGGCTCAATCTTCACCGGAGCCAGTAAGTTCCGTTGTAAGGGCTGTAGTGCTGCTTATGACACCCTGGTGGAACTGACAGTTCACATGAATGATACTGGCCACTATCGTGATGACAACCAGGACAAGACGGGCAGTGGTTCTAAGCGTTGGTCTAAGCCACGTAAGCGGTCCCTGCTGGAGATGGAGGGGAAGGAGGATGCCCAAAAAGTTTTGAAATGCATGTATTGTGGCCACTCCTTTGAATCCCTCCAGGATCTAAGTGTCCATATGATCAAGACCAAACACTACCAAAAGGTGCCTCTGAAGGAGCCCATGGCCCCTGTGGCAGCCAAAATCATGTCCTCTAAGAAAAAGGCGCTTGTGGGTCTGGACCTCACTTCAGCACCACGCTCAAGAGAAGGAACACCCAAAGCAAAAGCAGAACTGAATGAACTCTCACAGAAAGCTTCCTCCAGTCCTTACACCACCCCCAATAACCGATACAGCCACCAAAATGGTGCTAGCTACACTTGGCAGTTTGAGTCTAATAAACTTCAAATCCTCAAGTGTATGGAGTGTGGTAGCTCATATAATACACTCCAAGAGTTAAGAACCCACATGATGGTGACGGGACACTTCTTGAGAGTGACCAGCACTGTGGGTAAAAAAATCAAAACACTTCCTGAGGCCACCTCACCCAATCCAGGAAGGGTCACCACACCTACTGATCAGAGAGTCCAGTCTGTACCACTTGCACCCTCCAACTTTTCTCCTTCACCTCTTCAGACCACATCAATTTCACCTACCAACTCCCCTCCTCTAAAAGAAATCAAAAAGGAGGAGGTTGAGGAGGAATGCACCCAGTTCGAGACTGTTGAAAATGAAAAAAAAGTCACAGTAATGGTTGGTAAAGAGGAGGACGTTGAGAGGGAGGAAAAATATGACATTTCAAAGTATAATTATCTTACAGAGGAGGACCTGAAAGAGAGTCCTAAAGGGGGGCTAGATATTCTCAAATCGCTGGAAAACACTGTGACATCAGCTATCAACAAGGCACAGAGTGGGAATCCAAGCTGGGGGGGCTACCCCAGTATTCATGCAGCCTACCAGTTCCCAAATGCCCTCAAACTCCAACAAGGCAGCATGGAAAAGAACTCACAGATGAAGTTCTTGTTCAATGGAGGAGATGGAGCCTTGTCCCCCTATGCTAAAAACCAGCCACTCATTTCCCCACCATTAAATCAGTCCTCCCCCTTTCCCACTAATAATTTTCAAGCAATGGAAGATTTGGTGAAAAAAGTGACAGAGAAAGTAGCAAAAGTAGAGCAAAAGGTTAAGCAGCTGTCCCCAAAGAGGGAAAACCAGCTGTCCCCTTGTAGTAGTGACACTGGAGAATCACACAAGGGACGAGAGACTGACTCTCCTGGGGAGTGGAGGGAGGTTACTCCAGCTAATAGTGACAATGGAAGCCATAGTGAAAGGGCATCCCCAGCAACAGAAACCAAGAGAGACACAGCAGTAAAACCTCTTGCCTCACTGAGGTGCAGCACTGCCATTATCACTGGTCATACTCCTCCTGAGCAGCCCTTTGTCAACCCACTAAGTGCTCTTCAGTCAGTAATGAACATTCATTTGGGGAAAGCAGCCAAACCCTCTTTGCCAAATCAAGATCCCCTTAGCCTGCTTTCTAGGCTCAGCCAGAGCATGACTGAGAAAGCTGCTGTGGCTGCCTCTCCATTACAAACCAAAAAGCCAGAAAGTGTAGTTGATAATAGTTTTTGCCAGTTCAACGATGACCAGCCTATTGACCTCACGAAAAGCAAAAACGATAAAGGAGGCTCTGTGAGCTCAGCCCCACTAACACCTTCATCCACAGCCTCCTCAATTTCCCCCATCTCTCTTGTTACTCCTGCAAAGCTAACAGTGGTGTCTCCCTACACGTCCAGCAGTCCTCTGCATGAAAATGCATTGTCTGATATCTCTGACATGCTTCGAAATCTGACACAATCCCATCCTGCAACAAAACCTCTTTCACGACCTCGGCTTGCAGAAAAACCGGAAGTTGTCGGATCTACGCTCGAAGAGGATGACTCATCCCTGCATGGACACAAACGCAAAGGCCGCCACTCCAACTGGAACCCACAGCACCTTCTCCTTTTGCAGGCCCAGTTTGCTTCCAGCCTCAGACAGACTTCAGAGGGAAAGTATGTTATTAATGATCTGAATCCACAGGAAAGAATGCACATATCTCGTTTCACCGGTCTCTCAATGACCACCATCAGCCACTGGTTGGCCAATGTCAAGTACCAGTTACGGAGAACAGGGAGAACTAAGTTCCTCAAGAATCTGGACTCCGGTCAGCCTATTTTCTTCTGTAGTGACTGTGCCTCACAGATTCGGACCCCATCAGCTTATGTGTGCCACCTGGAAGCTCACCTGGGCTTCAGAATAAGAGACTTGGCCAAGATGTCCCCCAAGCAGACTGTTAGGGACACTAATGCTCTCACTGAGAAACTAGTGCCCCTGGAGTCCTTCATTTCTCCACAATCTCCAGATGATTGCAGCAGTAATGGAGCAGTGTACCGCTGCCAGCTTTGCGTTCGAAAGTTTGCCACTAAGCACGCCATCAAGCTTCACCTCAGCAAGAGCCATGGGAAGTCTCCAGAGGACCATCTGCTATATGTGTGTGAATTAGACAAACAATAAATTTCTCTTAGCAGTAGGCATACTGGAAAACATGTATAATGACTTTTGATCACAACATAATCTTCAAAATATGGGGTAATATACCATGAACTACTGTTACAAAATGTCAGCACAAGGTGTTTACATCTGTTCGGCCTATAAACATTTCTGATTTTCTGTATTTCAAAAGACAATTATTTCACATGGAAATAGACTGTAGCTCAAAAATATTCAGCTTCCTCTGTGTTCAATTTCAAAATGTTTGACAACAAAAGTGAATCTTTTGACTAGAGGGTCAACATTAACTTGAAATCTATTGACTTCATTGTATTTATTTTACATTTTGAGAGTTTGGATTTTATTTGCTAGTAGACTGCATGTTTTACTGTTGCATCTGTACAGTCCTGTCTTGTTGAGATTAGAAAACGCCCTTTGAAACAAGTCATCTTTCAACACCTTCAAGCAGCCAAATTCCTGGGAGAGCTCCTTAAAAGAATCTGCCAAACAGCAGAAGTTCATTATTATTATTATTATTATTATTATTATTATTTGTTATTGTTTATCATATTTCTTGCTGATTGTAAAATCTGCCTTATTCATGATCATTGAATAAGGGGCACTTAAAATCCAGGTCTGTGTAAAAATGTATATATATATAAATATATATATATTGTGTAAGCTTACAATTTGCTGTTTAAATTATGCATACTGTTATATTTCCTAATTTAAGAGGACTATGACTATCCACTGGTGCAGAGCCTTTGAAGAAGGTTAAAAAGGACACTGTTTTGCACAATAGTTTTATAAATGTTATTTGATATAAAAAAAAACACTACAGATATGTTGATGCCTTGTGCTTCTATCATTAAATTGAATTAATTGCGGTAAAAAAAATTGTCTTTTTTTCATCTTTAGCAATTAGATGAACATATACTTTTTAAACTATTTTGATCAACTAATTCAAAGCAGTTAAATCGGAGTAGAACAGACACCTGGTTACTGCAATATCATGTTTTTTTATTTTTTATAAATATTACCTCAGTGTTATCCCACAATTTTATGACTAAGCACTTTCAATATAGCTGACAGTTTCCCACTGAGCTACATCTGCAGAAACACCAAACAAAGCTTAAAAATAATCTTAAAGGAATAGTATAGTCATTTTTAAGTCATGTTCCGTTGAAAAGATATTTAATAGTTGGTGCCATACTAGAAATGATATAAGCCATAGAGCACAGATTATGGAGAAAGGGGTTATGTTTTCATCCAGGCTAGGCTAATGTTAGGCTTGATGTTTTATAATTTTTGGGCTTATAACACAACTCTCTCAAAACTGGCATAAATTATTGCTTTATTAGCTTGTATTAAAACATCACTTTTGCATGACCCTTTAGTTTATTGCTGTTATCTCAGGCAAACATTTGTGGTACTGCACAAATGTATGTGCAAGAATAGACGGTGTAGATGACGATGGTTTACTCAACTGGCAGACTGTTTACATGTGCACAATTCTTTGACCGGATTGAAATATTTTTAGATTAAATAATTCAAATGCATCATTTACATGGGCACAATCCGTTCACAACGAGCGTTTGCATGCAGCGGGTTTTTATTCTGAACAGAAGTACTGACGTGCAGAGTGGTAAACTCTCCTTTAAAAAAAAAAAACGGAAGAAGAAGTTCTACTTCTGGGATGAACGTACACAAACCTGAGCGCCCAAAATGGACCCGCGACAGGTTTTAATGATGGTGGAGACGTTACTGCACTCCTTGACTGAGCTACAGGTAATACAGATCATTTTGAGCTCTTTCAAAGTTTCTAGTAGAAATGTGTCGCTCACCGGCCAGTTTTGCTTCCCCGACATGCTAATATTATTAGCATTAGCCAGGCGGAAATGGTGTAGGTCGCACATGCGCAGTCAGGTCAGTTTTTCACAATCGGGGGGAAAAAAAATGGAACAGATTAAGTGTTTACATGCACACCTTTCGGATTATGAATCGGCATAAACCACCCATCTCATTCTGATTACAAATTATTTCGGATCGAGCAGAATAAAAATAATCCGAATGGGGCGTTTACATGCCGCATTTTTATTCCGAATGGTTGTTTACTCCGATTATGTCCATGTAAACATAGCTAAGGATCTGCATGCATACATTAGCCTAGCCTGGATCAAGACTTTTGCTCCTTCCACTGTGCTACATGCTCAATGACTCATGTCACAGCTGATAAGGTGCTAACTATTGTAAACTTGGAACATCAGTTCAAAGTTGACTGAACTGTCCATTTAACACTTGCAAAGCCACAAGTTTTCAAAAATTCTTGGTGATCTCTGTGACGTTGTTGTGTGGGTGGTGAGGGGTGGGGTATTCTGGAAGTGCAAGCGGTGCCACTGTCTGCAAGGCATCTGGCAGGTGGTGTGTGCTGCATGTAAACCACCAGATGTTTCTGAAACGAGCCACTGGAGGAGGAGAAGGAGGCAGGCGGGCTACAACAGCAGGCAGAGTGGGCTGATTACCACTGGGGCTTGGAAGCCATCAGGAGCCCTGGGCACAGACAGCAGATCTGGCACACACCTGGATGCCAAGACTGTCCCTTGGAAAAAATAAAGTGGATCCTATATATGCGTGCTGAGACAAGCTGACAGTGGTGCAGAATGCTCTGACAGGTGCTATTCCCTCAAAGCAAGCTTTTGGATCTAACAATATTACTGGCAGGTGTTGATGCTATCAGATTAGTCACAATTCAGGCTCAGTGCCATGTAACAAGTTTTTTTTATGTTTTTCAGTATGCATATTGAAGGTATACATACACAAACATGTCTACTCCTTAAATTTGTGACTGTTCACTTCTGTCCTATTTGAAGATGCCTGGGGACATCATGTTCTTTCTGTTTGATCTTCCCAGGCTTTACTTGTCATGACTGACTGACTGAGTGACTTGGGGCCGGCAAAGTTATCTTTGTTACTATGGTGACGGCCATTTGCCCACCCTCTAACCCCGCTCTCTCACTCAACTGAGGACAGCTCGAGTGCAGCACACCCATTTACTCTCTTAAATCTCATCATCTCGCTTCAGTTCCTCCCACCCGGGAACAGATTAATTAACACACACACACTGTGTCCTGACCCCGTCTTCTCACACAAACTCATTACCGCCTCAGACTTGCTCCCGGCCCTCCGACGTTTAGGATACATTGGCGAAACGTTGTGGGAGAACCCAGTGATGACTCACATCTGACAAGCAGAATAAAGCCTTAACAAAGGATGCTAATTGAAAGATGGGATTGAAGCCGGTAGCCATTGATAATGCAAATGAAAAAGCCCGAGCAGCCTTATTGAATATCAGTGCTCACAGAGTCCTTGCAGATAGAAAATTATACTTTGGACTTGATCAATTTTTTTCAGCACTCTATGTGTTGATAATGCTTTAGGCTCAGTGATGGACTTGGGGTGAAGATAGTTGGAGGAATTAATGAGATAGTTGACACTTTGGGGGTTAATGAGTGGCTGGAGGGAGAGGGCTAAATGATTGGACTTCTGCTTGAATGAGCATTATAGTGGCTGCTGGAGAGCAATGTAGAAGCTGCAAATCTGCTGTAGCCAGTTATTAAGCTTGAAAAATACAAACCTCCTTTCAATTGTATTTTCCAGTGATAATAAAGAGGATATTAGATCTGTTACCCATTGTTTTTTGTCTCGACTATCCTGGAGGGCTGGATAGTTATAAACGTCGATTCGCCTCAATGCTCCTAAAACAAAGTCGGCAGTGAAAGGGGATGAAAAGAGGCGGACAGGACAGGGATAGGATAGGAGGACAATGAGTCCACACTCCTCCATTCCACACATCTCCCATCAGCTCGTGTCATCCCTCTAATGAATATCAGTTAAATTGCTCTGCGGATCTGAGGAGTTTGGATGTCAATGTGATTTGTGTGACTGTGGCGGATGGAGGGGCCCAGACTAATGAAAGGCGAGCCTAGCCTGACAGAGTGATGAGCATCAAGCCCATCAGACCAATCACAGAGAAGCGGATGACAGCGGCAACAGAAAGACAACTCAGGAGGAAAGACAATCTCTTTAGGAAAACAAAATGGCTGCCAAAATAGTGGGGCATTTCTTTAGAGAACACTGACGTGTATCCTTTCTGTCTTGGTGTGTTTGTGCGAACTGTTGCACACAAAGTTGCTTATCTACAAGTCCCTACAATTTAAATTAGATCAAATTAACAGAAGCCATTTCCTAACTTTACTGTGACGAGATATTTTATTAAACATCAACAGGTTAAGAAAATAAAATAACCTAAAAGCAATTACACAGGAACAATACAGTCAATCTGTACTGAAAGTGCATCTGGTTGGGTTTTGTTCCTCCCTAAATTAATTTCTATCAACAATGAAGACGATATAAAGAAGCTGCCTATTTCATTAGCTTCAAAATGTGTATTTTAAGAAGGCAATGCAGAAGTTGTGGATAAAACCATGGTGGCTTCAGCTTGTACCTCTTATATTAATGACAAAAAAAGTAAAATATATCTACTGCAGCTGTTATAAAAGTAACTGGCCTGTAAAAAAAAAAAAAGTATTGCTTATAATTTCCTAAAACCTATTGAAAAAACACATTTGTGCAAATATAAGTTTTGGTATAACTTTGGAAGTGTAAGAATGCAAAGGCACAAAAGAAAGACAATAAAATTTTAGGTGATCTGATTTCTCTCTGGTGGGTGTATGATTTCATGCTGCTGTGTTGTAGTGCTCCGCCGCTGCCTGAGATAGCTGTCAGAGGTATTTTGGTGTGATATCTGACAGATTTGCTAAAGACACTCGTCTCAGGGCAGTACTCTATATATCGTTAGTTTAATGCACAATGACATGACCAATTATAGCGAGCTCCATGCTCAAATAGCATGTCAAAACCTGTGTATCAATCCATTAGATCCCGTCTCCCATCACATTAAATGGTACCTTTAGCTATCTGTTCGGCACGTAAAGAAAAATGCTGACAGGATGGAAAATGTGCCAGTGCTGTTTACAGAACTGATGTCTTTTGGAAAAGGAGCCCTCCTCTCTCTCTCTCTCTCTCTCTCTCTCTCTCTCTCTCTCTCTCTCTCGTTGCTTCTTTGACTTTCCATCTCTCTTTCACTCACTTGCACAACCAAGCCACGGAGCGCAAAAGAAGCATAAACAATATATCTAGATAATGGGCTGCATTGTTTACTTAGCTCTGAAAATGTATTTGTGCAAAACTCTAAAATGCATTTAGGAGGAATCATTCACTCTGTGTAAAGCCTTGTTGACACCGGGGTGCTTTCAAAAGCAGGAGAAGTGTCATAACAACATCATACATCATTGCATCAATTGGAATAAGAGGATGTGTATTACTTGTAACAAACCAGTGGATTCCTCCAGTTGTTGCTGTGCATCCGCCAGTGTTTCTGCATCAACCTGCTTTGTCGGCCAGTGCAGTAGGTGGGAGGAGGTATGTGATTTAGTGCAGTTGGTCCTAATGACCTCTCCGTCCTTGTGACAGGGACACACAGCCTCAGGGCTCTGGCACAGAGGATGAGCCTTGGACCACCTGGCACCTCGCCTGGCACCACGCGTGGCAACACGTCCACAGTCTGCCACCCTTCTGATAGATTGGCCTGTCTCTGGTGCCACCTTCATAAAATCACTTTTTGATTTGTTGTCATCCCACACACACACACATTTTTTTTTTCTCGACTTGGGTTTTTCACGGGTAAGAATACCCTCTGGTCAGGTATTACAAGAGTGATTAAATTAACCTTCAATAAATCAGCATGATAGAGCATTACCTGCAAGTGTGTGTGCGTGCCTGCTTGCCTGATGATATGAACGTGTGTGATTAGGAGGTCAACATC